GTTTCATGTGGAACAGAGAAGAAGGTATATTCTTTTGTGTTTGGATGGAATGTTCTATAGATGTCTGTTAAATCCAGTTGAGGCATAACTTCTGTTAGTTTTTTTGTTTCTTTGTTGAGTTTCTGATTGGTGGTCCTGTCTAGTAGTGAGAGTGGTGTGTTGAAGTCTCCCACTATAAGTGTGTGAGGTTTTATGTGAGGTTTGAGTTTTAGTAGCATTTCTTTTACAAATGTGGGTGCCTTTGTATTTGGGGCATAGATGTTCAGAACTGAGACGTTGTGTTGATGGATTTCTCCTGCGATGAATATGAAATGACTGTCTTCATCTCTTTTGATTAATTTTGGTTTGAAGTCTAACTTGTTAGATATTAGGATAGCCACACCTGCTTGCTTCTTGGTTCCATTTGATTGGAAGATCTTTTCCCAACCCTTTACCCTGAGGTAATGTCTATCTTTGAAACTTAGATGTGTTTCTTGTATGCAACAGAGGGAAGGATTCTATCTTCGTATCCATTCTGTTAGCCTGTGACTTTTTATAGGTGAGTTAAGACCATTAATGTTGAGGGTGAGTAAGGACCATTGATTGTTGATGCTTGTTTGTTTTAGATTTGTTGTTGGCAGTGGTATTGTGAATTTATTTGTCCTGCTTTACCCTTGGTTTCTGGTATAGTTAGATTATCTGTTGCCTACATCTTTGTGGGCATAGTTAATTTCCTTGGGCTGGAGTTTTCCTTCCAATACTTTCTGTAGGGCTGGATTTGTAGATACGTATTGGGAAAATCTTGTTTTCCCATCTATAGTGATTGAGAGTTTTGCTGGGAATAGTAGCCTGGGCAGGCATCAGTGGTCTCGTAGTACTTGTAGAACATCTATCCAGGACCTTCTTGCCTTGAGGGTTTCCATGGAGAAGTCTGGTGTAATTTTGATAGGTCTGCCTTTATATGTTACCTGTCCTTTTTCCTTTGCTGCTCTTAATATTCTTTCTTTATTCTGTATGTTAGGATTTTGATTATTATATGTTGAGGGGTCTTTTTTCTTTGGTCCAGCCTATTTGGTGTTCAGTATGCTTCTTGTACTTTCATGGGCATGTCCTTCTTCAGATTTGGAAAGTTTTCCTCGATGATTTTGTTGAATATGTTTTCGGCACCTTTGAGCTGGGCTTCCTCACCTTCCTCTATGCCTATTATTGGTTTGGCCTTTTCACGGTGTCCCACATATTCTGGATGTTTTGTGTTAAGGATTTGTTGGATTTATTATTTTCTTTGGTCGATGAATCTATTTCCTCTAGTTTATCTTCCGCGCCTGAGATTCTCTCTTCCATCTCTTGAATTCTGTTGGTTATACTTGCGTCTGTAGTTCCCGATCTTTTGCCCAGTTTTTCTATTTCCAGCATTCCTTCGGTTTGTGTTGCCTTTATTTTCTCTATTTCAGTTTTCAAGTCTTGAACCGTTTCCTTCACCTGCTTACTTGTTTTTTCTTGGCTTTCTGTACTTTCTTTACTTTCCTTAAGAAATTTGTTCATTTCTTCCACTTTTTTGTTTGTTTTTTTCTTCCATTTCTTTAAGGGATTTTCTGACATCTTCTTTGAGGGCCTCTATCATTTTTATCACGATAATTTTTAAGTCGTTCCCTTCTGCTTCCTCTGCTTTGTTGTTGTGTTCTGTTCTAGTTGGTGTAGATTCCCTAGATTCTGGTGGTGTCATGCTTGTCTTTCTGTTGTTAGGTGTTTTCTTGTATTGCCGTCTTCCCATAGCTTCTTCCAGTAGGTGTTGGTGGGGTCTCCCCCTCTCTCTATGGTACTTCCCCAGTGGGCTTAGGTGGGTCAGTGGTTCGATGTCTGTAGCTCTAGATGGTCCAAGCTCTCTAGAAGGTCTCTACACAGTCAGGGGCCCAGGGATGGGGGTCAGCGATCAGGCTCCAGCAGAAGACTGGCGATGGGGGTCAAAAATCCCGAAGGCTGGGACTCAGGATGTTCTTGTATCTATAAGCAGATCTAGCCTGGGCCTGGTACTCTCTAGCTGAGGCTTCTTTAGCAGAGGCCCTGTTGGCAGGAACTCTGAGTGGCCCCGCAGAGATAGGCGGATCTCTAAGAGGGGCCTGCGACTCCAGTAGAGGACCGGCGGTGGAGGGTCAGAAATTACCGGTGGTCCCGTGTGGATAGGAAGGTCTCCTATGTTCAGAGCCGCTTCCAGAAGTTCCCCCGAAGTTGTCTGGACTGTTGGCTCCACCCTCTGTCCCAGTGCTCAACCAGAGTGGTGGGATAGTAGGCAGGGCAGGGCACAGGAGAGGGGGAGGGCAGGCTCTCGGTGGGGGTGGGTGGGGTTGTATCAGAGCTCCAAGAATGCTCTCGATGGGGACAGGACACAGGAGCAGGGGGATCCAGGTCCAACCCAGAGAGTTCCCCTGGGGAGGGTGTAGGGAAGAGGCCACCCAAATTGGTTCCATACTCACCTCTAGCCAAGGCCTGGTGATAGAGGACAAAGGTTGGGCTGATACTCAGGATGTTTCTGCACTGATAGGTGGATCTCACTGGGACCTGGCCCTCTCCAGCTGAGGCCTCTTTAGCAGAGGCTCTGGATGGGGGGGAGGGGGTCAAGGATCTTGTGGGCAGGAACTCAAGAGTGGTCCCGCAGAAATAGGTGGATCTCTGGGAGGAGCCCGGACTCCAGTAGAGGACCGGCGGTGGGGGTCAGAGACCAGGCAGGTGGAAATTACCAATCTATAAGAATTTAAGAATCCCAATATTAGAAAAATCCACTTATGGCTCATTTAAGGTCAAAGGAACAGACAAGTTGTAATCCCTTAAAACTTCACAACTTGTGAAAATGGTTATGGTCATCCCATCATTTGGGAGGTGAGAGTAAGATCAGAAATTGAAGATCATCCTCAAGTTTAAGGCTAATCTGGAAATACATGAGACCATGTCACCCAAAAAATAATAATAATAAATAAATAAAAAAGGAAAAAATAAACTAAGTAAGGGAGATATGCCATTTTCTTCTTATAACCAGTAATAGGAAAAGCAAAAACACTGCCCAAGACAGGACAGAGCCAAGTCTTTATCCAAAGACAGCTGCTGCTTTCTTATACCAGGGTTTCTACCATCTGCTGGTTAAGATTCAGTTACCACACTGTCATACCTCTCACTCCTGAATCAAAGCAGTCCTTTCAGAGATCACATGACCTCTTCTACTTGGACAGCCAGCCAAATCCATTATCTTGTTGTTAGAACACCTTCTCAACTGTCCCACTCTGTCCTGGCAGTAGCTCAGCCCTCAGACATCCATCAACTACTCCCTTGTGTATGCAGATTAGGTAATTGTAGTTTAGATACTACGATTTAGATGAGATCTGAAGGGACCTTTGCATGCACACAGAGGTTAGGAAGTATTATTCTGGGCTGGAGTGATAGCCTGATGCCCTGAGTTTGATCCCTGGAATTCACATGGTTGTAGCAGAGAACTGACTCCTTAAGGTTTTCCTCTTACTACCACATTGTGAGCATGTGTGTGCAAACCCACAAATAATAATGTTTTTTAAAAGAAGCAGCAACAGCAGCTTTGTTTCTGTTCTGTGTTGTATTGCAGCCCACCTTGGCACAGTTGAACACTGCTGAACAGTAGCTGCAGATGACCCTCAGTAAAGGCTGAGTCCTCAGAAGCCCCTTGTCCTTCTCTGGAGCACTCACTTATGTCCATATAAGTAGTAAGATACAGACTTATCACCTTGTATTCTATAAATGTAAGTCTCCCTATGGATCGATAGCTTTCCAGCCTATAAAGCCCCTAAAGAAAGGCACTCAGGAGTACAAATGCCCTATCTGAAAGTTTTAGACTAGGCTGATAAAGCAAGACTTCAAGATCTTGATTCTGATCTTCAAAGAAAAGGGTTATAAAGCCTATATACCATCAGGTGGAAACTGTGGTATAGTATGTTACTGAATGAAATTGTCATCCCAGTAAAAAGTTTTTTTAGACTTTACATCAAAACTGCATTTTCAAATAGTAATCAGTACATTAAATTATAAATTAAGCAAGGTTTTAAAGATATGTGATGACACAATTTGGTATCTCTCCAATTGTCTTTTATCCCAAACTCAAATTGCAACATTTCTTCCAAAACTGTTGATGCCCCCTTGTGTCAGTCCAGCTCTCCAGGACCCCCATGCTGGGTTGTAGCTTCTTCAAGTTCCTGTGTCAGGGTGCCAGAGCTTGGGCAAGACCTTTGCCTATCCTTCGAAGTCTTCTCTCCAGACTCCCTATGGAAACAAGTTCTGTTCCAAGAATACAGACCCTTCCATAGTGGCTGACTCCATTAGGAGGATGTGACTTTCTGTTCCCATGAGTAGGAGAGATGTCATTGTCCCCCATCCTCAGCCCTAAAACACTTCAGCTGAGAACCACCAACTGATGATCTCACTCTTAGATAACAGTTCACCACCTTAACACAGTTCTAAATGCCCTGTGACTTTTACCAAGATTCAACCTAGGTTGAGTTCCATAAAACTAACACTTGTCCAGAGAACTCTAATTTAACTGTGACTTAATATCTGTATGAAGTTCCATTTTTTCACATTAGCTATTCTTCTAAAATATAGCTTGTTTATAAAGCCTGGTTATCTTTATTCTTAACACGTTTTTCTAGATTTCTTCAAGTCTTTTTTGGAATTCACAGGCAAGTTGGGCACACCATAGTCCCACCTACTCTTCTGTCACTTGTGACCTTGGGACCCTCCTGGGCAGCACAGCAGGCCCCTGCGTTGGATATGCAGCATAGCACAAAAACAAATCCAAGCATCACTCTCAATATACAAGTGTTGTTACCACATGAGATTAGGTACAGGAGAATCTCTGTAGGTTATGTTTTTATATGTCCCACTACTTATCTCTTGGACATTGAAGATCCATTAAAACAGGAAAAAAATTAAAATTCTAATTCTTCCCATTTTGACCTAGGAGTTCTTCAGTGAAATTTATGACATAATTCTCTGTTGTTTTCTAGGCATGTTTTCCACAAATCATGTGTGGATCCCTGGCTTAGTGAACACTGTACCTGTCCTATGTGCAAACTTAATATTTTGAAAGCCCTAGGAATTGTGGTATGTTCCCTGTTTGTCACTACTTTCGTGTAATATCATATCCACTTGCAATGTAATACAGTTGGCATAATAGAAACCATGACCAAATCTCTTTAGGATGGTCTAGCTTTCTTTGCCATGTAGATCTTGTTTTAACAGTGCCTTTCTTCCAGATGACTTCTAAGTTCTAGACTACCTCGGGGAACAAGAGAAGAGAATGTAAATTATTATACTAGTCTACTTTGAAGAGTGTGCTTCTGATTGAGGGGACACAAAAGAAATAGGGTATAGAAAACTGTGGTCTAATAGTAATTTTCTTATATTTGGTATAATATGAAATGATGTCATATTCTGCCCTCTTAAGCTTGCCTTTCATATCTTTGAGTGTTGGTAACTTGCAAGCAGTGAAAGAAGATGGTAACTAAAAAGCCCCTAGAGAACTTTGAGCAACTTGACAGCTATGTTAGCCAAGTATGCTGCACTAAGGGTGTCAGGTGCCAGTGCAATAAAATGAAAATATTGAAGACTTTCTGCATTCCTTGCTTAAGAAAGGTATATAGAGTTGAAGAGATAGCTCAGCGTAAAAGGTTAAGGCTCACAATTAAAATGTCAGCAAAAGTATATATCCAGAATATACTTTTAATAGAAAGAAAATAATTAAGTCACCATTGCAAACTGTCCTCTGGTGGCCAAGTTGTCCTCTGTGTAAGACTAGTTTGACAGAGACTATCTCACATGGCCAGAATGTGGGAATAGTAACTTGTCCTCTGTCCATTTTTGATGGAGCCTTCTGGAATAAATGATCGCTATCATGATTTGTTAGATGTGATGTTACTGTAAGCATCATCTCTTACACAGTGCTTTTAATTTTGTTTTTAGTAGAACTTTGGGGGCTTAAACATAATTATTTTGCCCTAGAAGCAGTAGGTTCTGGGTTTTGGCCCTTTTGTCAGCCATTTTTCTGAGCTCTGTTTTCATATGCTGTCTTCTACAGACAGAAGGAGCTGCTTCTTACTCTTCTGGGTGGGCCTCTGGCTGTAACTGGAGGCTTAGGCTTTGAAGCAGCCTGAGCTTTGATTTGCTCTTGCTTGTGTGCTCTGTTTTTAAAGGTAGTCATTTTGTTTTATTAACAAGACACCAAGTAAATGGAGAATTTCAGAGAAGTTACAGTATAAACAAGGTATTTTGTTAGCTGCTGCCCTTTAATAATAGCATTTAACATTAAGATAATAAAGTAAATTTTTAATCTGAAAGTTCCAGCTTTATAAATGATATTAGTCTCCCTCTGCCTGTGACTGAGACTAAAAATGGTTATCATTTATTTGCCAAGCCACAGTGGATAGTTTTGAACTGTGGATTTTGGTTTTCCTTTGTACCATTTTTGGGAGAGAATCAGCTGACTCTTTGAAGAAAACTTCTTAAATGACAGTAGGAAATATAGATGGGCAGGAATATGAGAGTAATGTGGAAAAGAATGGAGATGTTCTTGGAGTGGGTGTTAAACATTGAAGATTTTATAAACTTGTTCTTATAATGATTTTTAATCTGGAAATATTTTGCAGCCAAATCTACCATGTACTGATAATGTAGCATTTGATATGGAAAGGCTCACCAGAACCCAAGCAGTTAACCGAAGATCAGCCCTCGGTGACCTTGGCAGTGACAGTTCCCTTGGCCTTGAGCCACTGCGAACTTCAGGCATATCACCTCTTCCTCAAGATGGGGAGCTCACTCCTCGAACGGGTGAAATCAACATTGCAGTTACAAGTAAGTGGGGACCCTTTGCCCAGGCACCAGACAGCATTGCTGCTTGTGTTGGGCATGAAGTGACTGTCAAGGAGAAAGTTGAGGCCGTATGGCCCAGCAGTTTCATAAAGGAAAAGATAATGTATACATTTATCCACTTTATAACAAGGAATGTGCATGCTGGTGATTTTGTGGTTATTTAAAGGTTTGTCTTAATGGCTGTTCAATAAACCTTGTTTTGAAATTATTGCATTGCAAATAGACATTTTAAAGGGAAACACTGGAGTACAATGTGGACTAGCAGGCAGCTGTGCTGGTATGTTGTATGCTGAGCATTGCTGCTCATGATCTCCCAGACTATAAACAACCTAGTGAAAAACTAATGTAGAATTTGAACCTAAAAAATATCCTGGGCTGGTTATGAAATGTCTTGATTATTGAATTGTTAATAAGCAAAAATGTACTGTTGTGAGAGCAGTGCCCGTCTGTATACAGTGTGAGTGGGTTGGTGGTGTGTGTATGGGTGTTGTAGGCAAGGCATTCATCCTGTAACAAGCAAATTCTTTTCTGTTTTCATTCTTTACGTGCAGTTTCCATCTAACAACCTCTCACCCATTTCTCGTCGCCACCCTGGTGCTGCCTTTTCTAATTATGCTGCTGCTTACCCAGGACTTCAAGCCTAAAGTTGATGAGGCTCCACTTACCTCTGGGAGCCAGTAACAAACATGGGGGAAGCAGTTTATGGAATAGCTTGCTCTTCACATGTTAAGGCTTCTGTGGTCTGTTTTATGGAAATGCATGGTTTTGAACCATCCAGAGGTTGCCATTTGTCTGAAGGCCAAGAACTTTCATTCCGTCATAAGTAAAACTATTCTTTGATATAGTGTGGCTATATAGTGTGGCACATTTCCCAATGCTTGTCTTAGCAGTATTTCATGGTGTTCCAACTTTGGCATTTAGGTTCTATGGTCTAGAGTTTCAAAACTTGGTCTAGCAGTATGAAAGGAAATTAGAGGTGATTTAAAATTGTGTTTTTATAAGTCCTTCATTGATCAGGCATTTATTGAGCACCTACTACATTAAGCACACATCTTGTCATTTTTATGTGAAAATGTCTACAAAATCTTGATAATAAAATCTTTTGATGATAAAAATAATTCATATACCAAATAAAATATTTATCAGAATTTACACATGCCATCTATTAAAGAAAATTCACGTGATTTTCTAGACCCTAAGTACCTCATTTCCTTACAAATCTCTGTGTTACCATAAGCAAGTACAGCACCCACTGTGTGGGCGGTCATAAGGGTGGCTCAGCCTCAGAAGATTGCTGCTGAGTACCCTTGGATCTGCCAGGTGCTGCTGTGATGGTATTCCTCACATACAAAGACACAAGTAGGTACATGTGTTCATAATTCAGCAATATAGATGTGACTGGAGTTTCTAAATGCTAGTCTGTGATCAAAGGGTTTTGAGAAGGTGGGCTTGGTGGCAACTCAGTGCGAGGACACAGTGGCACGTGCCTATAATCCCAGCATTCCTAGCATTTAGGAGGTAGAAGCAAAAAAATTAGGAGTTCAAGACCAGCCTCATCTATTGCTAAAAAGAAAAGGAAAAAAATGAATGTTACTCTCTTTGCTGTTGGTAATGATTCATCTCTTGAATTTTAAACATCCCAGCTAAAAACATGCATAGGGTGCAACAGTGCATTCCACATGGACTCTTCAGTGACAAGCTTAAATCTAATGAGGAGGAAATCTGTGATCCAAGATTTAGCAGCAGCTGCAGTGTTATATGAAGAGTTCACTAAACATTTTAATCATATAAACAAAACATAACAGTGAAGATTTAGCTCATAGAACAAGCTCAGCATCCTGGGAACCCAGAGAGCAAGTTCTTTTAGCCTTTTCTAGAAAAAAAAAGCCTGTTCACACACAGTTTACAAAGTTTTAGGATTCGTGAAACCCAGACTAAGAAATAGTCTGGGAGCACTTGCTACTCTTTCTGAGGACCCAAGTTCAAATCCCAGCACCCACATGGGGCACCTCACTACAACTCTGGGGGTCCCAACCTTCTGGCCTACATGGGCACATGTGCTCACATATGCATACACATGTACTTGTACATACATAGACATAATTAAAAATAAAACTTTTTAAAAGAAATAACTATGTTACATATAAAAGTCATGAAAGATATATTTTGTTCACTAACTTTAAAAAAATGTTAATATGGGAGGGCTGGAGAGATGCCTCAGAGGTTAAGAGCACTGGCTGCTCTTCCAGAGGTCCTGAGTTCAATCCCTGGCAACCACATGGTGGCTCACAACCATCTGTAATGAGATTTAGTGCCCTCTTCTGGAATGCAGATATTCATGTAGCCAGAACACTGTATACATAATAAATAAATAAAAATCTTTTTTTAAAAATATTAAAATGAAAAAAAGTTCCTGTTAGGAACAGTTTTGCATGCAAACATTTGCCATGCCTTCTTACAGATGTAGAGAAATTTTATAGAATTACTTTATCAAACTATTCCAATTTAGATTACACTTGGCATTATATAGTTATGACTTCGGAGCAAGTCAGATTGGTTCTCGGGCCCCAGTTTAGTTTCCCTCTAACCTCGTGTATGCATGACTTTGATTTTGACTTCTGTATACCTTGTCAGTCATGGACCCTCCTACTTTTCTACAAAGACAGAAGGACCAGTTTTACTTCGCAGCAGGAGTCGTGAACCTATTTTATTGGCACAATTATGATGTGCCTTTTTAGCATGGATACTCTAAGTAAACTGATAGATAAGAGAAAATGCAAACATGAGTGACTTGGAGGGGCAGCTTTCTGCTGAGCACACCCACAAGACTTGAGAACCTCACTCCATGTTCCTACACCTTATCTAAGATTGAGTAGTAGAATCATGCAGAAATAGCAAAAAGGAAATTTGAAAATGATTATAAACATGGTTGTTCTGCACTCATTTAAGTTCACAGTAATAGCTATGTCCATGTACAGTTTTCCTACATAATTTTCCTGTGCCTTTTGGTGGTCACACTCCTCGTGTACTTCTGGATCTAAACTAAAAGAAACGGTTGAGCCATGCTTTCCTTTCTCCTTGCAGCTTTTCCCAGTACTTCCACTAACCTTCTCTAGTTAGTAGCTTTCTGGCAAACTTCCTCCTGCTTGACTTCCTTGAGCCAGCCTTGGCTTACACCTTCGTTGACGTCTGCTTCGTTGCATTTGAGGGAAGTGTTGACATCGATTTGACTTAAATCTTCTCCCCAGAGTGATTTCCTCCCTTTCCTTTGTCAACAGAAGAATGGTTTATTATTGCCAGTTTTGGCCTCCTCAGTGCTCTCACACTCTGCTACATGATCATCAGAGCCACAGCTAGCTTGAATGCTAATGAGTAAGTAACAAATTGTTTTTTGGATTGCATGTGCCAGATGATCCCAAGAAAACATGTAATTTTCACGAAGGTGGTAAGACTTTGCTTCCCACCTGTTTCATGCTGATCCCAATGGGATCATAGTTAGCAAGATAATTTCTTTCATGAGCCATCTACTTTTAGTCACACAGAATGGGAGTTTATTTTGTTCAGTAAGACCAGCATACATGAGCAAAGCTCTGGAGGCTCTCTTTAGTACATACAAGCTGGATCCACAGCACCATGCAGACGCCAGGACACCAGAACAGTCAGTATTTGAAGAATGCCCATGACCTGACCATTGACAGGAATAGCCCCACTCTGTGTGCTCATAGGAATGTACCAGGAGCTATAGTCAACTTTGGGAAAACACTTAAGACCTTTCTTTGCTATGGTCAAGGACAGAAAGGAAGTGGGAAGGAAATCTACTACTCTCAGAAGACTGTTGGGAGGTAGAGATGATAGAATAAAATCTCTAAGGGCAGAAAGAGGCCAGTATAGGTTATAGAAAGGCAAGTCAGTTCCCATAAGGAAGAATACATACCAGTTAGGCTTCTTAATAGTGAGACGGCCCTGCCACAAGGAACGCACAGAGCTAGGAATGCCGGCAGAAGCTGTGTCACTATGAGGGCTACTGTAGGGTAGACATCTTGGTCCTTGTGATGTAATGATTTTCTAGAAGTAGCATTACACAGTAATATGATAATGGAAGGGTTTTGTTTTCTTTTGTTTTAAATGTTATTTGCTATTTAGTTCCTTTTTTTACCTGAGTATTCATACTACTTAGATAGACACAACCTGGGCCAGTGCCCAAATTTGAGCCTACATTGCTACTGGTGCACATCATGTGCTCTCCAGATTGGAGTATGGCCTAGCGTTTTAAATTGCCAGCAGTAAACAATATCCTTGAATAATTAATATTGTTCAGCTGTGTAAACCCAGAACTTTTACTTCTCCTGACATATTATCTCTCACCTGATCTGTTGACAAATACTTGCAGGAAATATCTTTTGGCATCCATGACTCTGTACATATTGAGAGGCTACTGTGGTACATTGGCATTCTTCACCCTTTATATGAATAGTCTTTACCTATCCATTAGGTTAGTCAGAAGCTAGCTACTTCTATGGAACCTGGTAGATGCAGTTTTCCATCAGAACACAGATTTACAGTCAGTCACACCTAGATTTGTCTCTCACCCAACTCCTCCATTTTCCAGTTGTGAGACTTGGGCATTTAAATGTATTATCTGAACATTATTTTAATCATCAAAATAAGCAGGTAATAATTAGTCCACATCATAAGGCTATGGACTTAGCACAGTGCCTAGTACGTAATAAGTGCTCAATAAATGTTAGCCAAACTAATTCTGCCAAGATTCTGCTTCAGTTCTGTGAATAAGAGGGCCATCTGGGGCCAGGGGGGTGGCTCAGCAGGGAAGATGCTTGCTGCCAAGCCTGATGACCTGAGTTCAATCCAATTTCCACAAATTGTCCTCTGACCTACACACATACACACCATGACATATGTACATATGCACATAGGCAAAGAAATAGATAAATTATAATTAAAAACTCTGAGTGCCCATGATT